ATTGATCTGGGTTGGAGATTGTTTTCTTTTAGGGCTTAAATACTTCACTCCATGCTCTCCTCGACTTGAGGGTTTGTGTTGAGAAGTCTACTGTCATCCTGATGGGTTTTCCTTTATAGGTGATTTATTTATTTTCTCCAACAGCTTTTAAATATTCTGTTCTTGTGTTGAATTTTTGGAATCTCAACTATTATATGCCTTGATATAGATTTTTTTTTTAAATCATGGCTTATTGGAATTCTATATGCCTCTTGTCTATACATCAAATTCTTTTTCTATGGTTCTGAAGTTTTCTGCCACTACTTCTGTAAACAGTTTTTTTTTTTTTTGGGGGGGGATCATTTTCACTGTCTCTGGCTTTTTCATTGATTCTGATCAATTTTATGTTATTCTTCATTACATCATCTAGCAGCTGATTAATTTTGCATGGTCCCTTGCTATTCATAATTGCTATCTGCAATCCTATCCTCTGTATCTGATATTCTGTCTCATATTGGCTCATTCTGCTGCATATAATTTCAGTGGAATTCTTCGTCTCCTAAATATTTGTTTGAATCTGTTTCATGGACCCCATTTCTCTCCTATGTTGGATGTTCATGGTTTTCATCATTTTCCTAGGTTCTTCTATTTTTAAAATTTGTAATGCTCTAGAGTTATTAACCATGTCTTCCATTATGTCACCATTTCCGTAGTTGAGAAATTATTTCTGATTTGATTAGTTTCTAGAGTCTCATTAATCTGTTTTGTTACTTCCACTGGTGGCACTTCATAGAGTGACCTGCTTTCGAATTGTTCCACCTTGTTGCCACCTGGGTTTGCCTTGGTGAACTGGAAATCTATGGTCGCATATTGCTTAAGCATCTTCTCATTTTCTTTTTTTTTTTTAAAGTTTAATTCTTTGGGTGATGCTTGTAAATTGCTTATAGCACATAGCTTTATTGCTTGTACTTAGAACCCTCAGGAAATGACTGCTTCTCAGAGATACCTTCCAAATATAGCTGCCTTTTGGGTTTTGAGTTTGTTGCAGGATCCTACCTCTTAAATTAAATTGGGATGAGAAGCTGCTACTTTTTGGCCTCACCCCAGTTTCTTTGGCCCTGGCCTATAGTATTGTTTATGACCCTTAGGCAGTCTCAGTCTTGGCTACCAGGAACAACAACTGATTAGAACAATTGTATCACCTTGGCTAAAGTAGTACAATTAGCAATAACAATAGTATCAAACACAGCCTAGAAAATGACAAACTGTGGTAACTATTAGTTTACCATCTTTAAGTGTATGAAGTATGTTTGTGGTTATATAAGAAAATCTAAAACCAGAAAATTGTGTATAGTAAGTATGCCCTTAATATGGTGATATTACCATCAGTGGAGAAAATTTAGAAGGGGTTTTGGGGAAAAATAGAGAAATAGAAGAAGAGATTAGAAGCAAGGCTGATGGATCAAGGAAGATTATGCAAACTTTGGGAAACTGGTGAAGAAGACAGGAAGGAAAGAGAAGGAAGAAATAAAAAGAACAGAAAACCTAGAAACAATGTTCACATTTATATAAGAACAAGGACAAGCTGTCAAGGAAAAAGCAAAACAAAACAACAAACAGCAACTAAAACAGCATGAAAAGAAAAAAATGTCCACTTCAGGGTGTGTGTTTGCTGTCACTGGTAGATAGAGTAGGCAGACAGATCTGTGTTGATTAATCCCAGCAAGCCATCCATAGGTTTATGGTGTAGTATGGTGTGGTAGCAGATAATCCCAGCAAGCTTTTATCCCACTGAAGTTCAGGTTGTTTTCTGGCAGTGAGACTAGAACCTGATTTGTTCAGCCTGCAACCCTCCGTGTGTCTCCTACCAGTTTAAAATTGGCTCTCTGACCTGCTGACTTGAACTCTGTTCTGCCTCACCCTGATACTGGGATCTGCTAGATGGAGCCAGCCCATAGCTGCTCTGATTTCTAAGCTCAGTTGATCCCTCTCCAAGATGGGTACTGGCCAGTCTCCCTCTCCTGGGGGATGTCTGAGCCTGAATAACTCATCAACCACTGTAGTTCATTGTGTCTACTGATCCATTCCACTGGTTGCTTCTCTGGAGGCCTCTGGAGTTGCCAGTATTCACTGTGCCTCTGCAGGCTTGAGCCTCCCTTCCTAGGCAGTGAGTCCATGTATAGGGAGAAAGCACTGATTGCCCCCTCCTTCTTTGTTGAGGTCTTTCTCTTTGGCCTTCAGTTCTCACTTCAGATCCTTGCTGAAGCTTCAGATCTACTTCCCTCCTTTTTGTCTTCCTCATATTGCCTTATTCCAGTGTCTGGACCCCAAAACTCAGTGGGGCTTTTCTCTGCTGCTTACCACTTACCATCCTAGAAGTCAGTACTATAATAATTTATTTTAATAATACTATATAGTAGTTCAATCTTCTGAAGTGTCTTAAACTTCTTCAGGTGCTTAGGTTTGTAATCAAAAGTCTTAGATGGTGCAGGGTATTTTGGTGGCATATTGTTGGGCTTTAAGAATAACAAAACCAAGAACATTCGAGATAGTGCTCGGCGGTATAGCAATCTGATGTAATGCAGGAATGCTGGTGCATCTGGTAGAAATGAGTTACAGGGCAGCAGCCAGTCAGCAGCAAGGAAAAACTCAATAATGCTCTCAGATTGGCTACTTGCAAACCTGTCAAAAAAACCCTCAGAAAACAAATGTGGAAGATATTTGCAGTATCTGAGAAATTCTTGGGGTTTCTGCAAACAATTTTTAGTTAGGTTCTAAGGAAAAATCATCAAATGACTGAGGCTGTGATTTCTTTACCATGACTTTATGGGGTATACTATATACCATTTTGTTTTAAGCCAGTAGCATCTTTTATCTCAAATAGAAACTATTCTTTTATGTATGTATGTATGTTCTTTTGTTTCATTTTTGCTGTTTTTTTCTCTTTTAAAACTTCTACTCCTTGGCTGAGAATGTAACTTGGTGGTACAGTGCTGTCCTACAGAAAGCCTTGGGTTTCATTCCCAGTACTGCAATAAGATTAAAATAAAATAAAATAGTGTGAAGTTTTAGTGTTGCTAGTGAGGTCTAACTAGCTGAGCCCACAGTTCATTAAAACAAACAAACAAAAAATCTCCAGTCTTTTACTTCTTTTCCCTATACTTTGATAATGATATCACAAATTACCTGTTTTATATTGTTTATCAGTTAACATATATTTATAGTTAGTTTTTTATACTTTTGTGTTTTCAATTCTGTACTGGAATTGAAGATGACATATACTTTTCCTTTGCAGATCTTTAGTATTATTTTAATGATAGAAAAATTCTCAGTTTTGGTAGAAGCCAGGTCTGTGGTATTCTGTTATCACCTGAATTGACTGTAGTTGGTGATCCACAATTCTAGCCATATATTGCTACTCCTTAAACACTTCAGGATTTATTATTGTAAATTGCCATATTGTGTTTTGCTGTGTTTTATCTTTTGGATATGAATAATGAACACTACATTTATGCAGTTATTAAAATTTGAGTGTAGCGTACTGACAGAATGTAGGTGTTATGGTTGGGGTCTAGACGTCCCCGCAAAGCCTCATGTGGTCATAGGCTGGATCTAGAGTGTGTGAAGCTGGAAATGATTCATGATGCACTGCTAGGCTCAAGAGCACTAGGATTAAGGCTATGAGTGCTGCCCATCCTGAGTAGTCTGAATAAGGTAGAAGGGAGATGCTGTTAACTCTCATTACCTTTCTGCTGCCTTGCCCATGCCATGTTGTCTCCTCTGTGATGCTTATTTGCCATCCCAGCCTCAGAGCCAGCTGATTATGGACTGAACCTCTACAAACTGTAAGCCAAATAAACCCCTTCCCCTCTAACTTTGGGTGTCAGGTATTTTGTTTCAGCAATGAAAGTAACTCACACTGTAAGTTAGTTAAGTTGATCCAAATTCATATTTTAAACGCATGCTTTTTAGGGGCAGGTGCATGGACTTGTCCAATCCATAAAACATTAGCTGAGAAATGGTTTTTGTGTTCAAGGGCCAGGTTTTTTTGCACTTGTACAATTTTTCTGAGTTAATAATGGAGGATGCTCAAAGATATGTTCCTAGATTGTCTCTGGTTATTTATTTGTTTATTTATTTAGAGACAGTCTCTTTCTGGAGCCCAGGTTGACCCTGCTACTCATGCTCCTCCCTGCCCCAGCCTCCTGAGAACTGGAATCATAAGTGAGCACCACAACACTCGGCTCAGTCTTGGCTTTTAGACATTGTTAAATTTTCATTTTTTAAAAGACTCACCAGCATCCAACTTTTTTTTTCCTTTTGTGGATTTTGATTAATAAAATTAATCAAGGTTGATATGGAAATAAAAAGCAATTTCATTTCTTAAAAAAATGAAATAAATATTTAAATATTTCATTCACTGACCTTTGCTCAATCAAGAGGCAACATTAAGATTCTGTTAGGCAGGGCTGGGGATTTAGCTCAGTGATGCCACCACATGCCTCACAAGCACATCCCAAGTTCGATCCCTGGTTCCTCCCCAAAAGAAGTCAAAAAGCTTGTAGTCTCTCCTGCCCTGTCTGTGAGGACATAGTGAGGCTCTCTTAGAAACTGACTATGCTGGCATCTAGATCTGATTGTTATAGCAGCCTATTGTCAGTGCTCACTAGAGAAAGAGATTTTATATTATATCTGTCTATCTATAGATCTTGGTTTGTGAGCATAACTTGTTTTGAAAACATTTCAAAGCACTGTATATCAAAATGTATTTTCCTATAAGAAATAATGGAAACGCAGATGATGCATTCCACAACCCAAGATAGTAATATAAAAATGATTATAACACTGTACTGTAATATAAAATAATAAAAAACAAAATACAGAGAAAAACAAATAGCCTGCACTTAACCTTTGAAAACTTCCATGGTATTTCCGAGTGGGGTCATGGGCCTGGCCGGCTGGAGCAAGGTCTCCGCGCGCGTGCAAATGGTCGCAGGTCAGGTCAGCCCCGGCCCGGCTCCATGTCCCAGAACCTGCGCACCGTGCTTATTTTTGGCGGCTTCTTCTCCTTGGTTGGTGCCTCCTTATACCCCATCTACTTCCGGCCCCTAATGAGGCTGGAGGAGTACCAGAAGGAACAAGCCATCAATCGGGCTGGGATTGTCCAAGAAGATGTGCAACCACCAGGGTTAAAAGTGTGGTCCGATCCATTTGGCAGGAAATGAGAAGGCTGTCACCGTCTCTGATTACGCAAGTAGACATCTTCATGCTTTCGACTCTGCTTCGAACATAATAAGGAGCTTCACTAATAGAACACTTCACTGAGGGGTGGCTGGAGAAGAAAACCCTGAAATGCCGTCAATAAGAGTATTTGTCATGAAAGACTATGCATCAGAAGTAGTATTTCCCTTCTTAAATATGAAAAGTACCCTGGAACACACCACACCATTAGGAAGGCTTGCATGATTTAGTTGACTTTCCAGAAATGAAGCTATCTTGTGGGGCTGTTTGCGGGAGATCTGTTTATTATTCAGTCTTTATCACCTCCTGAGCTATGATAGGAATACAAGCAATCTGTGGGCTTGCGGAAGCAGATTTCAGTGAAGAACCACCATGCTGAGCTGCCTCTTAGGGCTCTTTGAAAATATTCAATTTGATAAAGCTCTTTGTGGACCAGGTACTTTGTGCTGTTTAAGAATAAACAGTTCGGCTGAGCCATCTCCTGTTGAAGATTTCTCCATTCTGGAAAATAAATAAATATAAAGCAGGTCAAACCACAGGAGTGCCTGTGCATAGTACGCATCAGTGGTGAGTCAACAGAAGTTGAAAATATGTCCATTAAAATTATTTATTTTTATTTTGAAAAAAAAAAAAGAAAAAAAACCATGGTTGGTGTGAAGGAGAGGAGAGAGGAGGGTTGTTGTATAGTATGACTGTCATTAATGGAATCACAGCTATCTATTGGCTCAATGGAATCTTTTGGAGCAACTTTAACAAGGAATTTATACTGTGACACTTGCTTTTGCTTCCTCTTGAGTATTTCACAGAAATGTGAAATTGGTTTGTCGTTAAACAGATTTATTGTTCATTCTGCTAAAGCCTTATTCACATGGTACTTTTGTACAGAATTTTGCACTCTTACCCACATTTTACACATTTCCCTAATCACATTTGAACTGAGGGATTCTTTGCCTTTTTCTTCTTCTCTGCAGATGAGATCTCCTCCATAACTTCCTGGAGACAATTACACACAATCCTGTGAGGTGGGGGGGGGGAGAGGGAGAGGGAGAGAGAGAACTATTGACTGAGTTGTGATCACGTGACATTCAGTGTCACATAGTATTCGTATTGTAAGACATTACTAGTTGACTAGAAATGTTTTCTTGTCTTGTTGAACACTTGCAGAGCAAGTTATTTATAATCCAGTATTTTAATGTATATGGAGTTTTACAGGGTAGGCTTACATTGGCCTCCTGGAGAGTGCAGAAGGGCTGCTGGAGATTCAAAGGATCCGGTGAAAAATCAAAGGCCTGGAGCTCATTGCAGAGTCCTGTACAAGTCCATATAAGGCAGAAGCTTCTGCTCTGGAAGCCTGGAGAGGGACACCTGAAGGTGATGGCAAAGCTTAGATCTCCAGAGAAACAGCAGTGAGACTTCCTTCTTCTTTCCCTTTTTATTCCATCCAGGCTGCAAGCCTGTTAGTGCCACCAACAAAAGGTGGGTCTTCCTTCTTCAGTAAATACATCTTTCAGTCACATCCAGAGCCAATCAGCTGGGCAACAGTTAACTATGACATAGCCCTATCGTTACAGCAGTGAGTTGCTGTTACTCATTTTACTTATTCAAAAGCATGCATATATTTAATACATATATAAACAATATATAGACATACACATAAGCATATAGAATTCAATACTTTATTGCTATTATTTTATGGAAATTTATCTCTCAGAATATTAAATAATAAAGTTTTTATTTTACTTTCACTTCTCCATTGCTCTTTTGTAGGTCTGAGTTTCTGTCCTACATTGTTTTTCCTCTTTCCAAAGAAAGTTTATCATGTTTTGAAGGAAGGTCTATTGTCAGTAATGTTCCTCGATTTTTACTGGCTTGGGAAAGCATTTCTTCTTCTGAACAATTTAAATATTTCTTCATATTCTTGTGAGGAGAAGTCACATGTAATTGTTATCTTTGTCTCTCTGTAGACAAGTTTCACCCACCTTCCTCCTGGCTCCTTTCAAGATTTTTTCTTTATCTTTGATTTCTGTAGTTTGAATATGAACTGCTGAGGTATAATGTTTTGCTTGTTTGTTTGGCATTTATCCTATGTGGTATTGTTTGGTTTTCATGGATAAGTGGCTTACTGTCTACGATTAATTTGGGAAATTCTCACTTATTCTTTGATATTGCTTTCTGATGGACCTAAAAAGAGATGTTTTATCATTTTTCAGTTTTCTGTGTGTTGTTAGGATAGACTGGCAACTTCCAAGGGCCTTATAATGTCAAAATGGTCCTTTCTGTTTGCTTCCCAGAAGAACGTAACCCATTCCTCGTCTTATCCTTTTTATAACATATCTGTTCATTTTTCTTCCTGCAGTATATTTACTGAGACTAATAAAACTCTTTCTGGGTACCTGAATCTAAATTGTACTGTATCTAAATCTTACTGGCCCCTTACCCTCAACTAAACTATCTCCTCCCTTTTTTCTTTTTGTTGTACTGAAGATTGAGCCCACATGTGCTCTATCACTGAGCTGTATTGCAATTTTTATTTTTAATTTAGAGACAGAGTGAGTCTGGCTGAGTTGTCCAAGATGGCCTTGAATGTGCAATCATCCTGCTTCACCCTCCTGAGTAACTAGGATTACAGGCATATGCCACCATGCCCAGCAAACTGATCCTTTTTAATAGCGTTCCTTAAGTGAGTGGGATTTGGCCCCTTGGAATTAGCTTTTAGCAATTCTGTTAGACATGTCTGCTTTTCTTTGACTAGGAGAGTGTTTTACTCTACCTCAAGTGTGGTGAGTTCAGTTTATGTGTATTTCTGCTGAAATGCTTAGGACTTAAGTGGTGGATTGACTAATGGTCAATTTGGAATGTACAGATGAACCAAACCAGCGTGTTTTCGTGTGGAAGACCTATTGGAGGGTGATCAATCCTCTGACTGCCTAGAAAGAGGGATGGTGAGGGCTAAAGAAAAAAAGACAACAGAGATTTGTATAATTTCGAAGTATATATAGGGCTGGGAGGTCAGTGCCTCAGAGCAGGCGCAGACGAAGACACTCCAAGCTTGCCACAATTTATCAGGTTCATGGGGAGTATCAGATGGCTTAGAGGGTGGTAGTGATCTTCAGTTCAGGAGATCTTATAATCAGAGGGAGTAACAGGTGTCTCAGAGGGCAAGGGCAATCCTGTGGTTGATGAGGATCTTAGGTTGATGAGCTTGTTGATTAGGACGGTGAGCTGAGCAAAACATTCTTACAACAGTAGGTGGGATGAATTAAGCTGATAAGGAATTTGCTCCTTCCCAGGTTAAACCTTTCTTTTTGTATTACTACTTGGTTCTTAAAGAAACAGGATGTCTTCAACTGATGTAATCTTGCCCTTGAGTGTCACAGCATCACTGGACCATTAGGCCTCAGACAGCCCTAATCATAATTTAATTGTGAAATGATTTCCCTCCCCAAAATATGTAGAATGGCTCCTGACAAAAACTCACCTGAGGATTATTGCCAATGGCATAGAGAACTGGAGGGGAAGATGTTGGGCTATTGATTTTCTTGGAGAAGCTTGCCAAGGGTGGTTTTCCTGATGCAAACTTGGCTGTTCTCATTGGAGGGGAAGCTTGGGGCTTTGATGCTGCTGTTGCTGGGAATAGCTGCTGTTCTCATCAGGGGAACTGTGATCTTCACTTCAAACATCACTTCCTGGCTCCAGTGTGAATCCCTCAACCTCGTGGCACAAATCCTTCAACCCACTGGTGCGGGTTTTCTGGCTTCTACCACTGTCCTTTAGGCCTTGCAGGTGCAGATCCTCAATATGGGTAAGCATGAGACATTGTCATGGGCTCTAGGCCGCTGGCTGGACTCAAGGAGGACACTGCCTTGGACTCTAGGCCTTCAACTGGACTTGTGTGGCACATTGTTGTGGGATCCAGGCCTTTGGCTGGATTCTTTGGGTCTCTAGTGTGTGGTTAGAACTCTTGCACTCCTCTGCATTTGACTTTTTCAATGAATATTATAAAATAATCCCATAAAATATGTGTCCTGTATTAAAGCTGTTCCCTTGTGTAAGACCTAAAGTCTCACTTCCACTCCACGAAGCGTGAACAGCCAAAAGGCCTCCACGACTGGGCCCTA